GTGGGTGGCGGCAGACACACGGCTCCATCCGCGCCCGAGGCCCTGCGCACAGCACGTTCCAGCTTGGCCCCACGGCGTGATTCCCCAGTTCTAGCCATTCACCCCCGAGTCAGAAATCTCCATGCCGGGAGTGAGTGCTGGAGGCCGTGGGGCCACAGCGGCTCTCCCCTGGGCCGACTCTCCCCTGGGCCGTGGCCCAGCCCTGCAGGACTTAAGGTGGGGGGTGACCACAGCAGACACGGCGCTCGCCAGGCGCCCCGGGGTCTCCTCCTGTGGGACGCCCCCTCCGTTCTCAAGGTCCTCCGGTCTCCCGCAGGTCTCCAGTTGATGGCTTTACGCCGCCTCCTGCCCATGTCTGCAGGCAGCCGGCCCGCTCCCGACGGGGCGAAGGCCTCTCCCCTCCCTGGACCGGTCTGCATTTACCTCTGGCAGGCATCTCCCCGAGCACGGCCCTCTCCTTCAATTTGTCAGAATCTCTTCTGAATCTAATTCCATTTTCTTTTTCGCTGCCAACAGAAATGGTCCCCGAACTTCAAATATGAGATGCCTGGGATCCTTTTAACTTTGAAGCTAAAATGTGGTTACCATGCAGCGGCTGTGCAGAAGTTAAGTGGGGGAACGGCATGACATCAGGGGAGGGAAAGGCCTCTGCTTCCAGTGTGCGAGGCGCTTCATCCTCAAACCCCAAATTATTGATACTGGAGATTTGTGCTTATCCAAAACCTGTGGGCTGAGTTTGGCTTGAAACTTGGACATGTTTCAGGCTTTCAGGTCATCAAGCAGGGATCAGGGAGTGTAAGACGACAGCAGATTTCCCAGCAAAACGTGAATATTCTCGTAAATGGGGTCAGCAGAAGCTTCAAACAGCCTCATCTCGATTCAGGTGAGTTTCGCTGCCCGAGTTAGTTTCAAACTTAAGAATAAACCCTTAGGCTCTCCCTGGTGGCGTGACAGGTTAAAGTGCAGCTGCTTCACTGCGCTCGATCCCCACCAGGGGGTGACCCACATGCCCGACAGACCTCTCCTGTCTCCCCGCTGCTCTCCTCAGCAGTATAATTCGTCCACTACCTGTTCTGCTCCCCGCTCTGTCGCTGGTGAAGTCTCTCACCCGCCCCTGCACCACTGGTCTGTACTCTGGTTCTGATGCATAAATGAATAAATCTTAAGGAAAAAAAAAAAAAAAAAGCTCTTGGTTTTCAGCATGTCCTGGACTCTGCAAAGGCAGATAAGGGCCTCGGCATGCACCGGACTCAGAGCAGAGCCGTCCTGGCTCTCTGGCTGCTCCACAGAAAGCTGGTGTGGGCTGTTCTCCTGACACCGTGGCTAGGCTCTGCCTGGGAGATCTGCAGGCAGAGGTCAACTGCTTTCGTTATTCCACTGTTGCTGAGGAAGCAAAACCAAGCCTGGATTTTGGGGCCCGGTGGTACTTGCGGTGCAGGAACCTGTATGTACAGGTGACTGACGCTCTTGAATATAGTGCTATAAGGCGATGTCACCCCAATAAACACAACTGGGACAAACAAGCCAGAACAAGCCCACGGGCTTGAAGCCTTTCCCTCGGGAAGCTGAGCGTGCTCAGTCTAGAGCTGATGCGCTCCACGCCACTTTCCCAGTCAAAGGACACCGACCCAAGCCACTCACGCGCATCCCACATAATACGCCAGGGCACAAAATCCTCTCCCACTTGAATGTCCACACGGTCAACTGGAATCTGGACACAGCGCTGACTCCGTCTCGGGAGGTCTGGGGTGGCGATCCTGAGGTGCAAACCAGCTCCTGGGGCTTCACGGGAAGCCGACGGACTTGAGTCTGGCCCTGACTCCACTGCTTGCTGGCTGGGTGACCCTGGGAGAGGGCTGGCCTGCCCAGGCTGCTGCCCCACCAGTTAACAGGAGAACCCGACCCCTGCTCTGGAGAAAGGTGACGGGGAGCCAGAGGCCCGGTTCCTGGCAGATAGACCCTGAATTCTACCCTAAGCTCCTGGGGTAGGCTGAACAGGAGCCCCACAAAGAAGCCTGCACCCCGATCCCTGGAATATGTAAACATGTCACTGGGTGGCAAAGCAAGGACCTGCAGACATGATGGAGCTAGGGACCCCAAGGTGGAGAGACCACCTGGGTTACCAGAAAAGGGCCCAATAGCCACGGGGGGCTGGAGCTGAGAAGCTGGAGGGCTGGTGTAACAGAACTTAGGAGGTGGAAGCAGAGGGCTGAGAGGAGCTGCTGGCTTTGAACACAGAGGAAGGAGCCACAACCCAAGCAATGCGGGCAGCTGCCAGAAGCTGGGACCCCGGAAGGAACGCAGCCCTCCAGAGACGTTTGAGCTGTCTGATCTCCGGAACGGTCAGAGAACAAAGGCGCCTGTGGTCAGCAGCAGAAGGTGCATTACGACTTGCATTAGCAAGAGCATTTTTGTCAAAAGCTCTTTCTCCAGGGCGAACCTACAGCTACTTGGCCCAAGATATTATTTATGATCAAGGTGAAAGTATGCTTTCTGGCTTGATTTGCCTTTGAATATATATGCATTTGGTGATTAACAATGTGCTGAACAGTAAAAGCAAATAATTACCTTTCTAGTGTCTACCCCTGCGTGTGAGCTAAGTGAGGCGGAAGCCACTAATTGCACATTAAAAAATGATAACTAGTTTTAAAATGTTTGGTTTCACCTCAGACCACAAGATTCAAAGTGGCCACAGTCCTCTTACCAGCTCAGCTGCAATCCCACAGAATAGTCTGCATCTGGGGCACGATGCAAATTTTGATCGGGTCGTACAGTCCACAATTTGCTCGTTCACATTTACAGGTCTTCTGACCAACTGGTAGAGCTGAACATAAAAACCGTATCTTTTAATTTACTCCTGTATATTGTATTCCAGAAGCGATGTAACTGCCTCGAAACATTTTTATTTTAAAACTTATTTTGAAATACGACTGAATACATTAATGTAATTCAGAGCTAGTCGGTAAACATCAGCAGAACACGTTATATAATTCTATCCAAGGCTCTGCTTTTAAAGAAAAGAAACCACTGGACAGAAACATGTTAAATTTGGAAGCTGACAGTCAAGAGTTCCATGAGACCAAAAAAATGCGGGTCTAGAGTGAGGGCGCCGAGGGCACAGCCAGCCAGCTGCATGCCAGGCCAGCAGGAAGCAGCACCGCCCTGGCCGGTCACCCAGCATGGCACCCAGGTGACCTTGGGCCCGCGCCCCAAGGCCCGCCGTGGCCTCTAACTCCTTCAGAAACCAGGCCACGGTGCAGTCACCTTAGCGCTGTATGATCTTGGTGGCGCAGTCAAGAGCCACCAATAGCCAGGCTCGTGGGCAGCTGGCACAGTTCTCCACCTCACAGAACTAGGCCCTCATGCCCTGGGCGAGGGGGGTTCCCAGCGCACAGAGGGCACGTCTCTCCCTCCGCGTTCTGTGGCCCCACACGACAGAGGCTTTAAGTCCTTGTTGCCTGAAGGGGCTCTGGCTCAGCAACCAGGGCCCTAAGAAGACGAGGAGCCAATGTGTAGCAGGGCGTCAATGGCAGACGGCTGGCACCCTGACCAGCTGGACCCTCGCCCTGGTCTTGGCCCAATGCCTCTGCCCCTCTCCCCTGCCTGCCACCTTTGTTCAGGCGCAGCAGCAGGGCAGGCTGCTTCTCCGGGGCTGACGTCACTGTCTTGTCCAACGGTGGGGGCAGGCCCCCATTTGCGACTTCAGTAATACAGCAGGACACAGAGAACAAAGGTGTCTGTCTGTAGCCCTCCCTGAGGTTCAGCAAGAACAGTTCTGGGTGACTGTGTTTCCACGATCGCAATTCCTTCTGGGACTGTTCTGGATGGCAGGCTGTCCCACCTGTGACCCTGGAAGGGGAGGAATCCATGCAGCAGCAAGGGTCACTTCAGTGTCCCAGCTTCCAGCGGTATCAGGAGTCACAACAGGCCTGCCGAACTTGGTCTACGGGGGACAAACGTCCTGGCCCCTGCAGTGTCTTCTTCACGGTGTCCAGGTCACCTCTGCTCCACTGAGCAGAGACGGGGACACAGATGAGGGTGGCCAGGGGAGTCTGCTCTGCCTCCCTGACAGGCAGGGGCAGCTTCAACTTGCTTCTGCTTGTCTACTGGCCTTTATCCTGGCCTGGGAGGTAAGGTTAATAGCACAACAGGGAAAAAAGTGGACGCAAGTTCTAGAAGGCATCTGCTATTTTTGCAACCCCAGTAATTTCACTTTTCTTTAGGGGAACATGCTGTTTTTCAGGTGGTAGCAGGGCTGACCCTGCACCCCGACTCCAGGAGGCCATGTGAAGCAGATGGGCGTTGGCTGGGACTCAGCCTGGACAGCCGAGAATAAGGCGGGCACTTTCCGTGGTGGCTCCTACAGAAGGACATAAACCCAGAGCCCTCAAGAGCCGCCACCTAGACAGTCTGCATGAAAATGATGCCAACCCACAGAAAAGCAGGACAGGAGGGAGGTCAAGGTTTGGTGGCTGCTGAGCCCCTAGATGCAGCCAGACCTGCAGCCCAGTTCCCGCACATACCTTCAAAAAGGCTAATTCAACAAAGGTTATTCTATTGCTATAAAACATCTTCCATAATGTTCTTTACATTATAATTTACAAGTAAAATAATTACTATTACAACGGTGCATTATTTTTGTGCTTTGAAACATCAGAGAAGCTGCAGCGTAAGAGGAGGGGAAGCGAGAGCGACGACAGCATCCACACATACAGTGGCCGGGAGCCGTGCAGGCCTGTCCTGACACGGAGCGAGGAGCACACAGGGCTGCCCATTTTCCCCATAAGCGCACACCATCAGAACGCAGCGCAATGACTGTGGCTAACCTCGCCCGACTCTGAATCCAAAACGAGCATGCATTTTCCGATGTCTGATGGCACTGCTGTGCGTGAGAAGGAGCCATCAGCGGGCCAGGTCCTGCGTGGGGGCCACTTCTGCTGCCCAACACCCCCGTGACCGGGTGAAGGAGGAAAGGCGGCAAGAGCCGACTCCCGTCTTACCTGGCATGGCGTGAACGAGGTCCCCGCACAGCACGAAGAACCTGGGCTTGGGGTTCAGCTTGTTGATGGCCTGCACGGCCTGCTCGGTCAGCCGGATCTCCTGGCCCCACTCATCACCCCCGTGGTCAGGGTCCCTGCTGGACCAGGCCTTCATCAGGCCGAACTGGGGGTCTGCACCTTGGATGAAGTAGAAGGGCCCTTTCCACTCCTTTTCCTCCTCTGGGGGAGAGAATAAGGAATAAGGGGGAGGGAGAGAAAAATATTATAAAATGTGTCAGGAAAAGCATCCAGGTCACCATGCCAAGTGGATACAATATTTTTCTTAAATTAAGTAGGTCATTGTAATGAGCTGCTGTGAAACATACCATTTTCCTGTCCTAGTCTGGAGGATCTGACTTACACTAATTGCGCCTGGGACCCGGTGGTTCCCAAAGGCCGGAAAAGCCACGTTGGCCACGGCAGCCACGCAGCCAGGCGGTTCTTGTGCAAGCCGGCCGGCCTGAACGGGGCGCAGAGCCCCCACGGGCTGCAGGGAGGATATTAGTGCTCAGTAATAGTTTTTTAATTAGAATTAAAAATACCCCAGATTGAAAGCTGACGGAAGTATTATATTTAAATTATGAGGTGAGGCGCTTTTATGCCAGGCTTAATGTTAATGGCACAGTTTTGGGAGCTGTGGAGGAATTTTAATGACAGCACTTGGAGCTTGGAAGCTCTGGCTATCTGGTGGGAAATGCAGTGCCAGCAAGGAAATCTTGAAATGAGTTAGTCAACATGGGGGCGGAGAGAAGGCCGATGACAGCTCAAAGGCGTGATGTGGACCGAAGCAAGGTGTGAGGCTGGGCCAGGACGCGACAGCGAGGCAGGGAGACGGAATCCTGAAGGGTGACCGCCCCTCGGTGAATAGTCTGCCTCCCAGAGACTCTGCTGGCTCCGAGGGCACCGTCTCTGCCCTCACCAGCCAGGGGCACCCTGGCTTCTGCTTCTGCGGAGCGGTTGCGCGTGGCACAGGAGTCGTGTGGCTTTACCGCTTTGTCACTATTCTTTTTTGTGCCACCAAGTCCCCTCTTTGACCCACACTTCACGTGGCAGCTCAGGGAACAAACAGGGAGGCTCCTCTGGCCAGGTGGCACTGAAAGCCGAGCACTCTCAACGCCCCCCTCCTGCCCCCCAAGCTGAGGACGAGGAAGCCCAGGCACGGACGTGAGGTGCCCCGGCCTACCGCGCAGGGACAGAGCCGGCCCACAGCCGCTGTCGGCTCTGCAGTGAGCTAACGCAGTCTGCCCGCTCGGAATGGTAGCCTTTACGCCTCTGCATTCGTGAGGATTCCTGAAGGTCCTCAAGCCCTACGGAGTCTTCCGTGTCTGTGGGTTCGGTCCATTCATTCAGTGGCTATTTACTGAGCGCCTACTGTGGCCAGGCCCGTGGAGGAGCGGACACTACCCAGGTGGACCAAGGCGGAAGAGGCCCCCACTGTCCTGGGGAGACAGGCAGCAAACGAGCAGCTGGAGAAGGCTCGTGCTAAGGGCCAGGAGAGGGCGGAGAGGGGTGATGGCCGATTTGCAGGGGTTCTCGGGGGAGGCCTCTCTGACGTGTGTCACTGAAGCTGAGATCCAACGGACAAGAACCAGTCAGCTGCGACCTGCCACCACCCCACCTGCCCTGTGTGGCTTCTGTCGTCTTAGAGCGGGGTGCTGGTGTTGGGCCCTCCTCCCCTCTTAATTCCCTTTTCAGGACAAACATGCAGACAACCAAAACTACCTGTACCTACTTCACAAAACAAGTTGCAGCAGCAAGTTCAACTGCCAGTTCTCAACCTACAGCTCCCATTGTTAGTTGCGCAATCAAATCACGAGCTGGCCCCCTGGACCTGCACGAGGACCACGCGGGCCTGGCACGTGCATCTCACTGATGGGGACACAGCCCGGCACCACCACACGCTCCGCCCAGTCACTGAGCCCTCACCGGGAGTGGCAGCACGCCACCGCCATGCGGTCGGAGAGCCGGGCTGTGGTGCCCGCATGCTACACGTGCCCTCCGGCCCTCAGGCCCCTTGAGTAGGGTCAGGACTAGACTTAGCAACTTGCTTCTAGGAAGCAGAACACAGTGACAGGAGAGTGATCTCTCAGCTGACTGAGAGCTCAAGCCAGATGGAAGCATGGAAACAACCTAAATGTCTGACAGATAAATGGATAAAGAAACTGGCATGTGTGCACACACACGGTGGAATATTATTTGGCCTTAAAAAAGGAAATGTTGCCGTTTGTAACAATATGGATGGGCCTGGAGCACATATGTTAAGTGAAAGAAGGCAGTCCCAGAAAAGCAAACACTGTATGATTTCACTTATATGTGGAGTCTAAAATAAACTCATGGAGCAGAAAGAACGGTGGGTGCCAGGGACTTGGAGTTAGGGGCCATGGGAATGATGTCAAAGTGTAAACATTTTGGTAATGCAAGATAAGGGCGTTCTGGAGCTCTACTATAAAGCCAGATGTCTACAGCCAATCATATTGTTCTGTAGACTCAACAGACTTAACGCTAAATAGAGTTTTACACTGCAATGGCATCTCATAAGTGGTTACAAAGGACAGGTTCTCCTCTTGCTAGAGACAACTTTCTAGAAAGGCTAGAAAAAGATGGCCTTCACCATGCTCACACGCTCACTCTCTCTCTGAGTCCTCCCATGGGCGCACAGGGACCAGTCCTGTAGAGAGGCCCCAGTGGGAAGAAAGTGAGGGAGGCCCTGGCTAACAGCTAGGAGGAACGGGACCTCCATGCAACATGCTAAGAGTGAGCTTGAGGGACCCCTCAGTCGAATCTTCAGTTGGGAGCACAGCCGAGTGGACATCTGAAGTGCACTCCGGAGAGACGCTGGGGAGGCAGCACTGGACCCTGACAGAGACCAGGAGGACACACATTTGTGAGTCCAGCTGCCAGGCTTAGGGACAGCCTGTCCCATCGCGACAGGTATTGACTCTGACATTAGAGGTAAAGGGTCAGGAACAGTCAGCAAGGATTCAGGAATTGAAGGTTGGTGCCATTAAAAGAAATTGAGATTCCAAGTTCTCTTTCAAAGTTGACAGTTAGCATCATTTCGTGCTACCTGAATAACCTTTACACCAGTGAATGCCTTTAGCCACGTTGCCGAGGCAGTTTGCAGGGCTGTTGAAACGGGATAAATCAATCAGAACTGGACCGGGGAGGTGAGAGCACCCAAGGTTAGAGCATAAATCAACCTCCTACAGCAAACAGAATTTACAAACAAATTTTAAAAGCAAATGTTTTCCCTAAACATAATTTCCTACAATAAATAGTCATGGTCTCAGTAAGTCAATAGTCCTTAGAGGGATTAAAATAAATCTTTCAATATTACTGTTTACTTAGTAAAAACTTACGCAGACTCTGAGTCCCGTGATGAAAGGTGCGGAGTAGGTAGGTCTGACCTACAGTGAGCGCTGCGGACAGCTCCACCCGCCCAGTCTCCCTTGCCTGCGTCACAGAGCCCATTTGCTGGCTTCTCAGAAGCACCTGCATCCTCTTTAAAGTTCCTGCTACCGAAGCTTGGAGTCTTTGATCTCATCTTAATTTTAATCAAGGTTGAATTAGAGATATTTGAGGCTTGTACCACTTGGTCCCCGAGGGAGGAATCGTCTATAAATTTATACCTCCCTCACTCGCAAAAGGGCAGGTTTTTACATCACGGGAGTCCACGGTGACCCTGACAACAGCAGCCTGCACCACTTCTCTGGGCAGAGGACAGCGGTGGGCTGACGCCCTCGGGGGCCAGGGGCTGAGCGCGCTGTGCTCCCGGCGGGGAGAGAACCGGCTCCTTGGTCCAGCTCTTTCCTCCAAACTCCCTGTGGCCGTGGGAGCCAGGCAAGTCTGCAAATGCAGAACCCTGCCCGCACACCCCGACACGATTCACAAAGACACTACGGAGCCAGTGTTTAAAGAAATTTCCAAGTAAAGAACTTGAAGGGAGAGTGCCTGATGAACGGTCAGTACCTGGCTGCCCCAACAGAGACGCGGAGCTGCTTGGATGCGGACACGGACGGAGAAGGAGTGGATGACAAGAGGGGCAGGGAGACAGGCTACACCTGGGCATGGAAGGGGGGCCCCACACCCCAGTCCTCAAGGCCGGGGCCCAGCAGCCCCCTGGAAGGGCAGGCTCCCAAGCCCACCCCAGACTGACTGAGGCGAGCCTGAGGCCTGACAGTCTCTCAGCGGGTGCACGCAAGCTGGCCTGTGGGCCTGCAGCTGGGCAGGGACGGCCCCCAGGAGTCCCCGCAGGGGGCCAGCACGAGCTCCCCGACCGGCAAGGGTGTCCTAGAGGATTTGCTATTGATAACGGAGACACACACTTGGCTCATATTTTTGTATTTTCCTATTCATCCTCAGCCCCCTGCTGTGTCCAGCTCACAGGTTTGGCCCTGCACGCTGCCTTTGGTGTTACCCCTTCCTAGCGGATCATGTCCCTTGACACGGCCCTTCTAAACCAAGGCAAGATTCTTGCTAAGAAGCCAAGGTTCCAGCAGAGCCCAGGGCTTTCTCCCAACAGGGCTGTTGCACTCGGTCTCTACCGACAGCTCAAGACCGATTCAGGGCACGAGCGGGGCCCGGAACACCCACCTCCCGTGGATGCTTCCTGGCGACCTCCAGGGGCCACAAACTCCAGGTTTCTGATGTAGTAGGGTTAGCCAGTGTGTTCTGTTTGGCCCACACAGTGATCATAAAATTTTGAACGTGTTCCCAACACTTAAACCTCACGGTAGTCCACATGGACCTAGTTTTCTGGATTCCCATGGAAGGGCTGGCCACGCCAGGCCCAGCTAGCAATGGCTCCCCTTACAGGCACGGGTGCTCGCCAGGCCACCACTGTCCACCCTGAGCCACAGCAGGCCAACGGCCTCTGGCCCCTGCATTCATCTGCCATGACAAGCCCTTGGCAAGGGTGACCTTGTCGCTTTGCTCAGAGGGATGGAGAGGAGGTGAGCAAGGTCCTGGGCAATAACTTGATGGAGATCTAAAGAGAGAGGAGAGCTGAGGGCCGAGCCGGGCCGAGCCAGTCGCGCTGCTCAGCTTTGGGGGAGGCGGCCGGGGGCGCAGGGGTTACAGAGGCCAAGGAGCGAGGCGTGAAGTCTGTGCAGAGGACAGGCCGGAAATGACAAGCTCCCATGATGTACTATGTCACCAAAGCATCGCTCGAATAGCTAGCA